TTCTTCACTCAAGGACGAAACACATTGACATTAGGCATCATTTCATTAGAGATCATGTTCTCAAAGGTGATGTCGAAATTGAGTTTGTTGAAACACACAACCAATTAGCCGACATTTTCACAAAACCTTTAGAGAAAGAGTCGTTCTTCCGCATTCGAAGTGAACTCGGAATCCTTGACTCCACGATGATCTAAGTTTTGAATCTAAATTTATTAAACATTTACTAACTTGAGCGTCGGAGAACTTTTTCTTTTTTGCAGGTACCCCGTTCATGAAATCAGGGGGAACCATGCAAACAGCGCTGTCCAGGAGACACAACAGCGCTGTTGAGGGAAACACTGCCAACCAGAAAGTTTTCCAACAGCGCTGTCCATCAACCCAACAACGCTGTCCCAGGGAGTCCCTTACACCTTCACTTTCCAGAAACTTTCTGAACATCGATGTTCCCTTTTGAACTTCCCAAAACTTTTTGTTTTCAACCAAAACCAGAAACCTTTTAAACAGCGATGTCTTACCTTCAACATCGATGTCCATTTTTACAAATTTTTTCCAATCGCATAACAGCGATGTAGGATAACCCAACAGCGCTGTCCTAATGGGTTTACACCCTTACACAATTCCAGAAACTTTTGGAACATCGCTGTAGGGTACTCAACATCGCTGTCCTTTTGACTCTTGTTTTTTTAAAACTTGACGCAAAACAGCGCTGTACAAGGAACAACAGCGCTGTCCCAACAGCGATGTCCCCTGTAGAACATCGCTGTTCTGGTCAAAATTTTCAAAAAAAAAAAATCTGTTGGCTGCAGCATTAACTTCTCCAACAGCCATAATTTTGAAAATCATGCCATTGGACACCACCTTTCCTATAAATTGGGACCCCCTCTCTTCACTTTTACACACACAAACACAAATTCCTTCAATATCTTCACATATTTCATCCTCTCTACTCTAATTTTTTGAGTTTTCTTCACAATGGGCAAAGACAAGAACAGGGCAGGCACCTCCGGAAAATACAAGTCCAAATCCCGGGCTCCATCCACGACCTCCGAGGAACGCCTCTACTACGGCAATGGATCGTACCTCTGGTTCGATTCCGAGGAGGAGCGCACCCGATTTCTCACCTTTTTCTCCAAACGGGTTGTGGCTCCCCCACGAATCATCCCAGAGCGCTACCCGGAATTGCAGGGCTACGACGACCTCGACGCGCAGCTTCATCAAGCCGGCCTTTGGCCGTTCATCTCCCGGGCGCGCAAAGAGATCAACCCGGCGCTGATCTGGGCCTTCTACTCCAACCTCCGGCGTGAGGACGACGTGCTCTACTCGCTCGTCAAGAGCACGCCGATCGAGCTCACCGTGGAGCAGCTTGGGCGCATCGCCGGCCTCCCCTTCCAAGGCGACGATGTGTCTCACTATGGTGGCGAGGATTGGGTGCTCAATAATGAGGGCCTTATCCTCAACGAGCTTGGCATCACCGAGCTCAAACGCCATGCCTCGGGACGCCCAACCATCCACTCCGCCAACCCTGACGGCCGCCTCGTTCTCTACATCGTCACCCGAATCATCAAACCGAGGAAGCACTGTTAGAATAAGTGACCAACGCTAGAGGGGGGTGAATAGCGTTTGATCGCAGAAATCGCAGGAATAAAAAAATTAAGAACGTGAAAAGTAAAGAGCGTAGAAAGCGTAAAGGGAGCACACCAAGATTTATACTGGTTCACCACAACGTGTGGCTAATCCAGTCTCCCGAGAGACTCTCTCGAGCTACACTACTTCCGTTAAGCTTACGGGTGCTTAACAAACCGTTACAACCTGAGAACTCGAGTCCCACGAGCCTCAACAACCTTGCTCGGAGATACCGCACTCCAAGACTTCAACCCGAAAGAAAATACCTTTCCTTCGTACAACCAAGGGAAACAAGCTTCCCTTAACGTGTATACAACACTAAGACACTCTAGAACAAGGCTCTCTTTTAGAGTAGATGTTGAGTAAACTATATACGCTCAAGAACAACTCAAACTTCACACAATTTGGCTCTAGAAAGCTATGGAAAATGATGTTATTTGAATGCAATGAAAGTATGAATATTGTGAAGTGAATTGGTGAGAAAAACAGACCTAAACACCCCTTTTTATAGTGCTAAAATAGGCTCCAACGGACTGATGCATTAAAGGGGTGATTGGCTTGATTTATGGGATGGAATAAATTTGGGATCTGCAGGATATTGGCTTCCCATCGATGTTTGGAACTTACCCATCGCTGGTAAGCCAATTTTCCTTCAGTTTTGAAGCCAACGGTCACCTACCCATCGATGGGTAAATTCTTCCCATCGCTGGGTGGGAGGTTGACTTTCAAATAAGGAAAGAATCAGCCTTAAATGACTCCCAACGATCATGCCTTCCCACCGATGGTTAAGCCTTCCCATCGCTGGGTTCCCATCGATGGGTAAAGCTTCCCATCGCTAGGTAAGGGCATTCTGCCTTGTGGTAATGTTGCACCAAGGCTTTAACATCGATGGGTAGAACTTCCCATCGCTGTTTGGCATGGTTCTGGAAATTGGTTTGGCTAAGGGACTGCTTACCCATCGATGGGAAGATCTTCCCATCGCTGGGTGGGTGGTTAGCCAAAAACCCATGGTCTTTGCCTTAACCACGGCCTAGCCAACCGATGCAAAAACCGACCGAAAAATCCAAAGTTCTCCAAAATAAAAACCAAGTGTTTGAAACACTTATTTTATGTATTTGGCTAAAAAATCAAGTGAGTTACTTTAAAAACCACGTCATTTAAGTAAAAACCACGGCTAGCCAAGTTTACGCCGTTTTGCGTGGTTTTTGTCAAACGACTAAAAGCGAAAGATGGTTTTCAAAGTGTTTTTGTTGGAGAACCGTTTAAACATGCCAAAGAGTGAAAGCAGATCATAAAATGCTGAAAACCACTTGGTTGGTTTGGATGACAAAAACCAAGGCCGATAACCGAAAGCCGAACGCTGGTTTCTGAAAGCCGAACACTGGATGACTTGGTTTTTGGTTTGGGCGAACACCAAGTGTTTTTAATGACTTAAACAAGTTTGAAAAACATTTTTATGATGCAATGAGAGATTTTAGCCTAAAGAGCCAAGGTGTAAAGATTGGGTCGGTCTTGATCACAATAAAGACCGACTCAATACTATGACTAAGGTCTTCGTTCTTGGTCTTCTTTTAGCTCTTGCTCTTGTCTTCGTTCTTCGCCTTGTATATTCAATGTTTGACTTGATCACAGCGGTTTGGCATTATCAAAACCTGTCATAAGAACAAATACGGCTTTAGTACGAAAAGGTGATAAACCCGTGTTTCAACAATTTCCCCCTTTTTGATAATGGCAAACAAGACGGGGTTATGCATAGGAGGATTGATTTCAGACTTAAAAAATATTCCCCCTTAATAAATGCGATTTTCTTTTCAACAAAGTTTATTTGTTGAATAAGAGTTAGTTTTAGAAAAAGTTCCCCCTCAACCTATGCATAACCTTTATATCTTCCCCCTTTTGACATTAACAAAAAGAATTAAAGGTAAAATTTTGTTCATTAAAAGGGAAATGTGGAATACAACGGATAAAAATACAATCATATTTAATAAGGAGAAAATAAAGAAGAGGTCGTGGCGTCGGTGTTGGCCTTCTTCTTTGAAGCTTTGCTCTTCTTTCCTCCGGTCATGATTGAAGCGTTTTGGACGAAAGATTGATGGAATGAGTATAATAGGCTAAAGGAAAGAAATTAAGATGTTAATTGTGTGTTAAGAAGGTAAGGGATGGTGTGAATATATAGGGAGAGGAAGATGAAACCGTGTGAATTTAAAAAATATGGCTGTTGGGCATTAAATTCTGTGCCCAACGACCATAAATTTTGAATTTCAACTGCCTTCCCATCGATGGTATGAACTACCCATCGATGGGAGAGTCGCTACTAGAAAGCGAGAAGAAAATCAAGTTTGCCTTCCCAGCGATGTTTGGATTTACCCATCGATGGGAAGGTGGCTTCTGGAAATGCGTTAAAAACCTTTTAAAAAATAGTGTCAAACACCCAGCGATGGGAGAAAGTTCCCATCGATGGGAGCGGAGGTTCTGGGAAAAAATTTTGAAACATAAGTCATTCACCCAGCGATGGGATAAAATACCCATCGATGGGTAAAGGATTTCTGGAAATCCGTTAAAAGTTTTTTTTTAAAAAAAAAAAGAGTCAATTACCCATCGATGGGAGAAAGTACCCATCGATGGGAAGAGGGGTTTTGGAAAAATGAAGACTTCCCTCCCAGCGATGGTATAACCCACCCATCGCTGGTTCCCCCTGATTTCCAGAATTTTTCACTTCGAACCGTCCCTGCAAAAAAATAACACTTTGGTACCCAAAGTATGTCTATGGGTCCTTGGGGGTTAGTTAACATTTATTGCCCACGCACACACCCAAAACACGTTTCCTTACACACACACACACACACGATTAGATGATCGTCACGATTAGATGATCGTTTATGAGTTACCTTGGCCAACCCATGATCTCGTGGTTGGCGGGTTCCAGTCTACCTGAACGGAGTGTCGATATCTCGGTGTGATTTGTGTTGGTTCCGGTAACGGAATGTGGACTTTCTTCTTTTCGTCAAAGTAGAAGAAATAATACGGTTTCTTTTGTGCATTATCCTGTGAAGATTGTTTATGATACGAATATCCTTTTCTAAAGGATTTTTTTTCGTTAGCACCAAATATGTTGTGTGTTTCATTATAGGTGAAGTGCCTATGTCTGGTAAAACACACATGAGCTATATGTCCTACCCTATTGCAATAATGGCATACTACGTTTGGGTTGAACATATGCCTAGGTTGATAATAGCTAGGGGGCCTAACCATGTTTGTCCTATTTTTAGAAAAGGATGGTTTATGCATGTTTTCAAAAGGATCATTTCTAGGTGTTCTCATATTGTCTCTTCTATTTTGAGAAAAAATATTTTTATGCACAAAAACATTTTGACAATTTTTCTTAGGTTGTCTACCATGAACGTTTTCATTCCTAGGTTTTTGTCTAGGTTGTCTAGTGTTCTTAGGTTGACTAGGTTTTCTATTTACTTGATTTTTGGCTTTCTTATGTTGAGCCTTAGGAGGTTGTCTAGGTGTTTGCTCAACGTTTTCTTTATCCTTAGCTTCATTTTTATTAAAACCTATTCCTTCTTTAGAAAAATGCATGGTGTCAAGGAGTAAATTAAGATCTTTGTGTGGAGTATTAAATTTCTTAATCGTACTCTCAAGTTTAGTGACTTGTTCCTTTAAAGCTTTACAAGATTCACATTCGTTTGAGGAACTTTCCGGTTTGTCGGCGCTTCTTTTGCCATAAAATTTATTTTCTTGTTTCAACTTCTCATTATCTTTTTCTAGCTTTTCAAAATCATTTTCAATAGTGGAAAGGCGTTTCTTTAATGATTTGTTGATTTTAGAAGCGCTAACAAATTCATCATAAAGTTCGTGAAGTGCTTCTTGCATTTCTTCAAAAGTGTAAGAGTCGGAAGAAATGGTACATACCTCTTGTACATTGTCGGTTTGGTCTTCGTGTGCCATGAGACAGAGGTTGGCAGCTTCATCCTCGTCTTGGTCAGTTGACTTGTTGCCGGAGTCGCCACCCCAAGAGATATATGCCCTTTGCCTTTTGAAGTGCCGAGCATTCCTTCCGCTTTTCGGGCATTTATTCTTATTGTGCCCGGCTTCACCACATCCATAGCACATAGGGCCATCCTCAACCTTTTCTTTCTTCTTTAGAAGTTTGCAAAACTTCTTCATGACAAGCTTGATTTCATCATCGTCGCTTGAATCATTCATTGTTGATTCTTTGATGGCTTTTAATGCTATCCCTTTCCTTTGGTCATTCAAAGACGGGTTAAGTATAGTAGATTCATAGGTTTTTAAGTTACCTCTTAAACCGTCAATGGTAACATTTGATGTGCCGATTGACTCATAGATGGCATCGGCCTTAGATCGCCATTCGGATGTCAAGCTCCGTAGGATCTTTCGTACAAGATCCCTGTCGGTGTAAGTCTTCTTCAATGCATGGAGATCGTTGACTATCTTGGAAAATCGGTCGAACATGTCGTCGATCTTCTCGTGCTCCTTCATCCTGAACATCTCATATTCTTGGGTGAGGAAGTCAATCTTGGCTTCACGTACTTGGTCTGTTCCTTCGTACGTCACCTCAAGTTTATCCCACATCTCTTTGGCGGTTGAGCAACAAGAGATCTTGCGGTAGTCATCAGGATTTACGGCACAATAAAGCATGTTTATTGCCTTTGCATAATTCTCGACCTTTTTGATGTCCTCGGCATCAAACTCGTCTTCGGTCTTGGGGATCAACTTGTCTCCAACTTTCTTCATTGGCACCTCTTCCCCGTTTTTGATAACCAACCATAATTGGAAGTTTGTGGAACGAATATAGATTCTCATTCGTTCTTTCCAATATGTATAATTGGTTCCATCAAAAAGAGGTGGCCGTGTGGTTGATTGCCCTTCACCTATTCCTGCATACAAATTTCTAGAAGAAGAACCCATAATCGCTTTACTCTCAAACGGTTAAGTTTGGACGCGAGTTAGGCTCTGATACCAATTGTTAGAATAAGTGACCAACGCTAGAGGGGGGGTGAATAGCGTTTGATCGCAGAAATCGCAGGAATAAAAAAATTAAGAACGTGAAAAGTAAAGAGCGTAGAAAGCGTAAAGGGAGCACACCAAGATTTATACTGGTTCACCACAACGTGTGGCTAATCCAGTCTCCCGAGAGACTCTCTCGAGCTACACTACTTCCGTTAAGCTTACGGGTGCTTAACAAACCGTTACAACCTGAGAACTCGAGTCCCACGAGCCTCAACAAC